CGCATCTGTCAACGCGTGTTGCTAACTCGTCTCTCAGTCTTCCCAGCGCTCATATCATGTCAAAACACAACAACGAACGCCACAACCGCATCAACCTTCTACCTGGATCGAACGGAAACCCAGTTCTCGATCAACATCGCAGATGACTCGGACGACATCTTCATCTACTATGCTAGTCCGGCATATTCGTGGGTTGGCGTTGGTTTCGGTGAGAAGATGGAAGGAAGCCTGATGTTCATCATGTACCCGAATGCGAAGAGTGATAGTACGCACTACTCCATACTGACGTCAAGTCAAGTCGCAGGATGAATATTAACAGGTACCAGACGTAACAATTTCACCGCGCATCGGCTCCAAGGCTTCCGAGCCAACATTCAACTCCTCGATATCCCTTACTGTCCTCCCAGGAACCAGGATCGACGACGACATGCTCATCTTGAGAGCACGGTGTGGCAACTGTCGTTCCTTCGTCGACACTGAAGCGACAGCCCATCCGATGATTTTCGCCTTTGGTCAAGCACAGAATCTGCAATCCAACTCGCCCTCTGCAGACCTCAAACGGCATATCCACTTTGGTCACTTCACCATGGATATGACGACGGCAACAGGTCCAGGCGATGTGCCAGTAAAGAGCAATGCGCTAAATGGTGTGAGCATGGTAGGTGAGATGACAAGAGACCATGACAGAGCGAATCTTGCACACGCTGTGATCGGATGTCTCGCGCTTTTTATCCTCTGGCCGCTCAACATGCTCATCGTGTGCTTGTTCAAGAACATCAAGATACACGTTATACTCAGTGTGATCATCATGATCTTCCTGATCGTCAGCTACGCATTGGGTGGGATCACCAGTGCAGAGTACAATCGCGTAAGTTCTCTCTAACCACTAAGATCAGCATCTCCATACTAACGCACACCTAAAGTCAAAAGCTTTCAACACACCTCACCAAATCCTCGCATTCATATGTCTCCTCCCTCTCCTTTTAACCAGCGCCCTCCCATCTCTGAAGCCCTATCTCCCCCGCCTCCAAAAGGCTGTCCACACACCACTCGTTTCGACATCTTTTCTCCTGCTCATCCTAACCGGCGGCCTGGGTCTCCATCTTTCTGGCCAGACTCGCCCGATAATCCTCGTCTACACCGCTGTCTCCATCGCCGTTTGCGTGTTCATCTTCATACTGCAGTCGTGCATTCGGAAACGTGGATCTGCGTACTCACGCGCTGCAAAACGACAAAATCGCGGCTCGGGAGAAGAGAGCGATGAGATGGTTATGCTGGGTAAGATGGAGGAGGTGCCTGGATATGGGAATTTGCCATATGGGTATGGTGCAAGTCAAAGTGGAAGTGGGGAGTTTGGTGCGGATGGTCAAACACAACCGCAGCAGCATCAGAGGAACCAAAGTCGCACGCACTATGGTGGCGGGACGATGCCGGGTCCACAGTACTTGCTCAACATGCATCCGGGAGTACCGGTGCAGGTTAGTCGAATGTAAGTGTAGCGATGCTTGGGCCTCATGATGTTACGATTAGCATGGCGTTTGGTTAGTTACAGTGTCTGGGCTTTTGTACATTAGATCTTTGTTGTTTTAGGACGTCTTAAAGCGAGAGATACCATGGGGGTGTTGTGTAGGCATTTTTGGAGTTGACTAGCTACGTTTTGTCTGCAATTGCATTATCGACATATCTTTTGACGATGTCATTCGAAACCTGCTGGCTATCACGTCCGAGCCGAATGCTATGTCCTTGATGTAGCTTTTCCAGCTTTGCGTTTTGATTAAAGAAGGTCTTGAAAAGCCCAGTCTGGAATTTTCTTACGGAGATAGATCCACTCTCCGCTGTCAGTCTCGCCAACAGACACGACTCCTAATAACTTCTGGGCGTCACTGACCTGGCCAAAGATAACAGGAACAATGGGATAACAGGGGAGGCGCACATACTGTGACTTGGACCCTGTGAGCGGTCTGAGTGTGATACCAGGCCAGCAATTCTCAAACTTCGGATCTTCAAAGCAGCAGTCGAGCACAGCCAGGAAACGGTCATACCCGAGTGCTAATGCATGTGAAGAATCATTGGTGGGCTCTCGGATGCGGAGCTTGATCTCAACGCCACGGTTTGTACTTGAGAATTCCTCGTCTAGCCTATCCTTGTCGTCAAATCTGCGATTGACTATTTCCCTTGAATCTCTGAACTGCCCAGGATGAGCTGCAAATACCGAACTGGGCCATTCAAGGGTAAGGACGTCGTCCACGGGGTCTTCCTCGTTCCATGCGAAGAGGCTGTGATCTGTGGAGTCTTTCATGATCTCTTCCTGTAGCCGAACGAAAGCCTTATTTCCTTCACCATACAACAGCGGCATGTTGACGTCAAAGATACCCATGAAAGAATATGCCATGTCTTCTGTTCGTGTCGTCGTGCGTCCGGACATCCACCTCATACGCTTTGCGATACTCTGATCCTCTACGGCGTCTGTACCCGCAAGCACATTTGCGCTAATACCAGTTATGCGTTCCTGTTTCGCGCAACATAAGGCCTTCTGGCCGACAGATATCCAATCTTTGCCATAAAACACGATGTTCTTTGGTGCTATCAATTCTTGTAGTGTCCAACCGCGAGTGAACCATCGCGACTTGGCTAGCTCATCGTTACTAAACCAGTCGTCTGATCTGGCGTCGTACACGCTGACATCGTCGAGATAGGCATAGCAAAGTGTTGCGTCTTTATACCATCGAAACATGCTGTTGATTGCTTCGCTCAGCTCAGCGGAAGATGTCTTATCAATACAAACTCATACCGCACTTGCGACAACATCGACTTTATTCAACCGCTTACGCGGCCTGTAATTTTTATTTCTTAGCTTATTCTTTAGATCATGTATGAACCCTTCCTTTAATTTTTGAAACCACTTATTACTATAGTCTATATTAGACGCACATTCCCTGTGATCATACTGCTCAGGCTTGGGGCCCCGAAAACGAGGCCCCCTCCCTCACATTCTTGCTTCTCACTCATGTCAGAGAAGTAAAATAATTTGCTAGTAATAGATGAGTACGCCTCCTTCCCGTAGCTACAAAATAACTGCCTTCCCACTTAACTAATTCTTGGTGTCCTTAGTACTCCTCTTAAATTATTACCACAATTATCAAGGACAAATAGACCGCGCCCTCTCCCCAACTCGGCTTATTGATACAGCCACATTGACTCAGTAAAATTAACCCCGGCTCAACCGGGCTCATACTTGCATCACCTCAACTCGCGCTCTGCTTATGCTTGCTCGCCGTTATTTCAAGCACGATCATGGCCGCTCAAACTCAATCTAATCGGCTCAAGCTGCTCATGACCTCACTCAGACTTGCTCGCGATCCCGATTCTAGGACCTTTCTAACATGGTACCAGAAAATGTCAAGTGTGCGCGACCTAAACGGGGTTCCCTGTTCCGGGGCACTCTCCAAAGAACGCCTGGAGGCGATGTGTCATCGCTGTCTCTTTGCTGATGTTGTGATAGTAATGCTATTAGCATTCCAGTGCATATTTTATTCTCCTGAAGACGTGCGGGTCGATTTGTAACTAAAGCATGTCCTGTCACCTTTTTATATTAAGCTCAAGAGAACTCTCTACCCTTCTCTTAAGCATCTTCATCTAATTTATATAAAATAGTTTCAATAGTATTAATCATTTAGGCTAGGACTTAGACGGACTTTAGACAGCTGTATATTAATTCTCAGGGTGTTTTCTTAAAGGATTTTAGCTATATTATCCTATAAATTCTTTCTGTTTACTTATAAATGTGTTCTAAGAGTTTCTCTCGGCATAACACTCTCTAATAATCACGATCAACATTGCTCTAACGCATCTTTCTATTACACTGTTAATTGTTCACGGCAAGGAAAATTGTTAAACGCGTTCAGCATTCTATCGATGGATATATTTGAACTTGGTAGGGACCATTTCTGGTCCACCCCCCAATCAAATCGGCCCACTTGGATCGGTGATGTCCACGCTGTTCTTGATTTGTGGCTGTGTATCATGGAACGGATCAACCATGATAGATCCCATATCTGGACCCTTTCGTTCACGTGGAAAGAAAAGGTGAAGACGACAGGGCTAATAGAGGAGTACATTGAAAGATAGAAAGAAGGTCTTGACCTGGATCATCCTTTTTCGAAGAGCTCAGGACATATACAGAATTGGTGTCATATAGAGATAACTAAGATCAGGCAACAGCATAGCAGCTAGTGTTAGTACACAGAACGATGGCGCGACTGTCGCGAAGTTTGTCAAATATGCGCATCATTGGACCGTGTTAAACAATGTGCAACGGTGTCTAAAAGCGCCCGCAAAGATATTATTTTCTAGAAAGTATTAAACAGTCACTCTTTCACGGCGTATCAACATTTCCTATTCTGGAGTCTCACTCGCTACGCTTAGTTCAACTCTAGAGGGGGCGTGTCAAATGGATAAAACGCCATATGGGTCATCTCGGACCCCTTTGTATGAGCTTTTGTACGGTATTTAGTCCAGGCTGTCCCATCAGTTTTCTGCGGCACCAACCTACAATTTAACACTTATGGCTTCTTAATTCATGGATTTTTACGTGAATTTATCGATCGTTTGACACAAACAGCTCGTTTTCTAGTCTTCTGAAGTTGGCCAATAAACCCATCTAAGACGAATGGTAGACAAACTAGGGAGCCCCGAGCCTGCCTTGTCGGTTGGAGTGGCCGCTTCATGTCCTTCGCTAGCATCCTTAGCCACCGATTCATCTGATTCGCGTCCATCACGAATACTTCTCGCCCCATTGTCGACCGGTATTATATGCTCATCGCAGTAGGCGCAGTGAGGGAGCCCGGACAAACAATGGTGAAACGAATTTGACTTTTTATGGTCTTCTTGTGCTTCATGCTCATTCGACCTATTCAACCCGAGCCAGTCGAACAATCTTTCCGTTGATGTGTACATGGGACGAGAATTTGGATTCAGACTCTCCACGATGAGAATGGCTCCTAGAAGTCCGGCCCATACTGGATGAAATCTCTCCTTGCAGTGGCTGGTGTTGGTCGTATCGGCTCTCTGCTCTCGACAATGCCTCCATCTAGCGACTGGTCGTATACGGGAGTTGTCGAGTTCATATCGCCCGTTGTGCGCTTTCGTTCCGTAGCCTGGTAACCATCGCAACCGAGTCATTGCTTCTGGTCTTCGTTGCGGACGACGAGTGCAATTGGAAGGTTCGTTCGCCGGTATTTGAGTGTGTAAATACCGTGTTAGGGGTAGCGCAGAACGAAGCGGCTGTTCAATTGCTTGACTAAACTTCGATGCTTCCAACAGGGTGGCAGGTGCTACTCTTCTGGCAAGCGAGTTACGTGCCTTGCAAAAGATAGACGAAGACATGTTGCTTTCAACCTATTGCGCTCTCACGGTAGAAGAGGTGTTGCTTTAGCGGATCGGCGCAGAAGAAGTCGGTCACCACGTAGAGAGGGTTGAACCGAAGTCAGAGTCCCAAGGCACATCACAAGCAATAATGGTATGCTTTATGTTCGCCTGGATTTCGAAGTGCTCGAAGTGGTGACGATGTTATAGTCGGCACGGTCGTGAAGATGATGGATATTAGTAGTTTTTGGTCGTGTGATTGAGATGGAAGATGGGTTTCGATGCCAGTAGTGTGATAATAGGAAGAAGAAATGGGAAGGACGCTTGCAGAGGCCCCTAATATATATCTGTGTGGGGTGGTCTGGGCTCGTACCGCAGGGAACTTTGGTGGTATTCATGACTAATGAACAAGCTGTGGCTCGCCGTTCGTCTTTGCTTCACTAAACTTGTTACAGGGTAACAAGGAATCGTTCCTTCTCTCATGCGGGTCGCATGAAGAGAGACTATCGGGCGGACACGATAGAAGGATGTAGATCTAAGGCGGGGCCTAGATCACGTGACTGACATCCCGCTAAGGCTGACCATCCGGGATGGCAGAACTACTTAGGATAGCAGAGCTATCACAAACATTCCTTGCACTTAGGATAGACAGGATAGCAGAAATAGATTATAATAGGTATAAAGGATAGACAGATTTTATTATTATACTTGTTGTGTTACAATGTTCTATTATCACAAGACTCTAGCCACAGACTAGTGAGCTACCGGGAACCCTTCGGGGCACCGACGGCCCACACCAGCCACGATCACCTGACGTAGATATATATTATCCCTCTAGGAGGCTTGATAGCTCCTTAAGGATTCGTCTCAATACAAGCCTATACCAATATCTCAGCGCCTGCCTAACTACTCCTCACAAAAGGCTAGCTTTGTCTTGCTATTAATGCATTGAAAACTAATAAAATTAAAACTTTACTGCTTATGTATCCTAAGTCAGCGCACCCAGCGCCAACAGTATAACCCCTTACGGTTTCCATCCCCTATTGCTGGCTATGGCATACTTGCATCCTCCTCCTTGTCAGTCAAATTGTGACGCACCTGGGCTTCATGATCGCCTGTGTAGTTCTCCGCTCGACACGCATCCTCAAAAGACCCACAACCGCGACGATTGCAAGTAATGATCCTGAATGAATTGCAGACTCACGCTTGGGCCCTTTGGGCTACTGGCTACTCTTTGGAGCCATGAACTCAACTACCACCATCGTGAGAATGAAGCTTCCCGAAGCGTCTTGAAGGAAGCAAGATTCTGCCGCCTTTTGCAGTTGGACGATTTCCTTCGTGCTTTCTACGCAATCTCACAGATTGTGCTTCCAGTTTAGCTTCATTTCTTGCAAGTGCAAGTACGCGATGTTTGTCTACCAGCAGCTAAGAGCAGCTACTTCCAGATTCCGTAGGCGAAGAACCACCGGGCGGGAAGGAGCCTGAGGGCGAATACAAAGCCCGCAAATTTCGTCACCCAATAGGAGATCTGTGTGAAATAGAAGAACTACTTTGATTCGGCCTTTAAGCTAGATTACCGCCTATCACATCTCCAGAATCAATACCCTCCTCTACGACAGGAGCTCCAGTCCCTTTCTCCTTGAACGCGACCTCTTCGTCTGAGAGATCAGATGTCAGTCGCGATGTGGGTGGGTAGTTGAGTATTGCTCTTTCCAGTTTCCTTGTTTACTGCAACTGTTATGGTGGACCAATGTGAAGAGCAGGTACGGCCGCGAGAGGTAGGTATATACTCGTTCACCCCCGGAATACTATGTTTCTTTTCCTTCACGAACATCTTTACAGCAGCATTCGGTCAGTACGGTTCATTTTGTCATACTCCAGCTCCAGACGATGTCATATCGCACTGTCTCTATCACTCTCATGTTTTCTTTCGTCTAAAGTTCTGCAAACGAAGCTGCACTATACCTCCACCACGTTTCCCGTCAATCAAAGCCGCTCGAGTTCATGACATACCACTCCTTCTGCACCATTTCTTCTATCATGGCTTCTTGGAGGAGTTTTTTCTTGCTCCTTATCTCAAATTCGTGCCCCTGAACGCATGGAAGCCGTGAAAAACCGTGGTCGATGCTGACTAGTGGTAGCTATGTCTAATATAATTAGGACATTTGTTACGGCGCAGCCCCGGGTACGGGGAACAACACGGTCTGCTTGCACTATTTCTTCTTGAACCCATTTCTCCTCAGCTCCTTGCCTCGGTGATTGCTGACATGTGTCCGCTCAATAGTGCCAATATCCGCGCATACCATCGACCCCACAAGGCGTATCGGAGGAACCCGGTGACGAGAAGGACAAAGGCCCTCCCCACTGGTCAAGTTCGGCCTGTTGAGGCTTCGAAGCCTGAGAGCACCATCTCGCCTCTTCGTGAGGTGAAAAAATGGGCCTTGCAAAAGGCCCTGGATGCTCTGCTCTTGGGTGGAGTTGCCTTGACAGGCTGGAACTTCTGGGGCAAAGCCTTCGATTGGGTCAGCCGCAGTAAGTATCATTCCTGGAGCAGCCCATTGTCGCCTGCGTTTCTTCGCTAACTTGGACAACAGAGGCTGCCCCTTTCGAAGGTTGGCTGCCCCAGCCACACAGTGGGGAGCGGGACCCCTTCTTCGATCCTTAGCCTCCTTTCGGCTTGTGGGCGAGGTGTGCCGTTGCGGACGTGCCCCTGCCCGGGGAGCATCCTTTTAAAAATCAAAAAGTGAGCTCATACCTCCCATCATCTCTCTACCATTCCTAACTCTGTAGGGAAAAAAAACCCCCTTGGGTACGATATCACAAGACTCTCTGCGCTGTCGATCGATTTCGTCGCCCGAAACCCTTGAGCACGACATCACAGGCTTCGTCGGCTTCTGAAAGCTTCTGCTCGACCTCTGCGCCTCCGATTGACCCACCACTCGAAACCCTTGGGTACGATATCACAGCATTCCTGTGCCATCGATCGAACACATCGCCAAAAGCCCTCGGAACGATATCACGGCTCCTTCGATCATATAATCGACCATTCCTTCGATCGTCAAACAAAAACCTTGGGTATGATATCACGGCTGCTTCGATCATGCTTTTGATCGCCAAACCAAACCCTTTGGTACGATATCATGGCTGCTTCGCTCATGCCTTCGATCGTCACACACACCGCTCAGGTACCATTCTATGACTACTTCGCTCACTCCTTTGGCCATCAACTAGTTCGTTCAAGTGTCATTATACGGCTGCTTCATTCATGCCTTCGAACGTCACACACGCCATTTGAATGTTATTCTACGGGTACTTCATGTATGCCTTTGATATCACACTTACTACTGCGGTGCCATTTTATGGCTGCTATTCTACAGCTGCTTAGTTCATATTCTCATTCACGCCCTCAATTTTGGAACACGGAGCAATGCTCCAGCCTTGCCAACCATATCATCGAAGCTCGGTAACTCGACAACGACGACAAGACGTACAACTTTAAGCCACCTCCTCTCATCAGAGAATGGAACTCCGAGTTTGCTCGTTGCTACAACTCTGATTCCACCGGCTTCATCAACCTAAGACTTGTTTCATCATGAGGCACGGAGCGGCCCTCCAAATTCTCGGTGCTGGCCTTGCCAGTCTCTCAGTGAAAAGTCTTTGTCAAACTTGACGTCAGCTCCCTTGGACGTCTTGAAAGCCGCAATGATACCCAGCTTCTTTCGTGACGAGCCCGCGGGCCATCCTCGTCATCACTCCGCCATCTTCTTACCTGCTCTTGTCCTTTTCGAACTCGTTTTCCTGGATCACCTTGCGTCCCGGTGGCAGCTCGACGAGCTTCCAGGTCTCGTTGGCCTGGAGTGAATTTGCCTCGTCTTTCATGGCCTGTCAACTAACGCACTCGAGTAAGACATCACGGCTACTTCGACCAGAGCCTCGCTCACAGCGTCGCCGAGATCTTTCTCACTTCTAGGTCTTATCAAGCAATCCTCATGCGGTACGATACTCGGCGGCTCCATCTGCACCTTTGATCTCTCTCACCTAAACTCCTCGAATATTGTGCCCTAGGGCTGCTCCATTCACGCCTTCGGTCTTGCCACTACAAATTCTTGGGGTACGACCTACAGCAGCTTCGTATATGACTTAGATCTTGTTCAGTCAAATTTCTTGGGTGCCATCGCGGCCGTTCAGTTCATGTGTCAAAATTGTGCCAGGAGAGGACACTTTGCACCTTTAGGTGATGTGAGGGCCATGTTGGTCTTAGGAAATGTGCAAAGCGCTTGTTGAGGCATCGGAGCATGAGACCTCGAAGTATTGAGGAGATATGGAGGCACGGAGGCATTGTTGATACTTTGGTACTTGGGGAACTGGATGTTTGGATGTTTAGGTACTTGGGTGCTTGGTCATGCTGTTGGATCTTCCCATGCTGTTGGATGCTGTCAAAGGTTAATGGATGTTCTTGAAGCTTGGATGCTCTCTTTAGTGGATGATATCATGGCTCGTGTGCCTATTTGAAGATAATGATCATTGAGCTTGAGTAGATATACTTTACAGCCACAAAACATAATGCGACAGTGTATAGATCACTTGTATTCAAAGCGTACGCAACATCGTTCACTTTCGACCCGGATGTCAAAAATAGAACTTTAACCGCGCAAGGGACCAAAAGCCTTAAAGATCAACATCCAATTACTTTTATTAACCGGCAAAGAGGTAGCGATTACCTCAAATCGCCGAATCTCGTCCTCGACCACTATGTATATCACTTTATACGTCGCTCCCACGTGACTACACGTGAGATGCTAACCTTCGCTGCCTTCGACCTCCGAATCTACGGCCACCGGTGTCAGGACGTGGCAAAGCTTTATATAGGGTCTAGTTGTGAGAGCAACTGGACTTTGTCCTTTTGCTCAACTTCGGACACATTTTGTGTTCTGAAGACTAGCCACGAAACTACCTGGAAGTATAAGTACACAAGTAGTTATGAAGAAATCGACGTCTACTACGAGAAGACGAGACAAGAGGAATGGAGTTGGACCACTCGCACTATCCCAAACAGTCCTTCCAAAACCGATCCTCCACCCAATCATACGCACACTGATTTGACAAGACCACTGAAGCTTGAATAGGCAACACGAACGGGCAAATTTTTGCCAATCAATTAATTTCGCGAGCTTATGACCTGGGGCGAACACACAGGTCAAACGATCATGTCAAACAACCCGGATCAGACGACACACATCAGTGAAATTAGTACAGATGACAGCCTAAATCTGACTCTCGGGATCCAATGGCCCAAAATTAGGCCACCGATACTCTGGAGTCGCTCAAAGAAGAATATCCAGTAATCTGGTCTAATTTCAGGCAACTTGAGAAACGGTCAAATAGTCAAGGAAGCATATCTCGATTGCTAGGGTTACCTACCGCATATATTGTAGGGCATTGTTAGTCTTGTTGACATTACCAGATGCAACAACTATAGACCCAGAAGTATCTCAAGCCATCTTTGCTCGCTTGCTCCCCACAGAACTCGATCTTCTTATACCCAGCTTTGTCTCGCCACGAGCCTTTTACCATGTCCTCGAATGTGACCTCCTCATTCGCGCTGGATAGTCTGTTGTGAGCTTAGGCAATGTTTATTTGTACAACGCTGCCATAGTTTTCCTTTGCACCGAGTTTCTATTATATTGTATTAAGACCATTAAGCTGTTTCGAAGTATCGAGAATCGCTTTTATTTTTGAGATTCTGTATATTGAAATGACTGGTATGATGTTAAGTAATAATCTTTATCTGAGTGACTTCGATCCGTAAAAGTTTTGAACGAGCAACTCATTTTCTAGAAGGGCCTCATTCATATCGACTTTGTGCATTGTGGCTTGATGACGAGCCTGACTTCAAGCCCAACTGATGAATCTCCTGAAGTGGGAAGGTCCCATTTGAGATCTCTGAGATGGGGCCGATTTTGAGTCCCTGACACCTACAACTCCTGACATTCTTTTCACGTATATGACATATGGAGCGAGAAAAAGATAGAAAGAAAAAGACAGAAGAAGCGTTAATAGTCACGTTCCTGTTAGAATTGAATCGTAAGACCCGAGTAAGCGCTGAAGTGCGGGCGCATTATACTTAAATATGGAGGATATAGGAAAGTATAACATTGTCGTAGAGATCAAGTATACTCGTGAGAATAATGATTACGATAGATCACTAAGGAAGTAGGAGGTCCGGGGAGAGATTCTTCGTGGCGAGAGATTCTTTATGGAAAGAGATGCTTCATAGAGAGCGATTCTTCGTGTGGAGAGACTTCGTGGAGAGTGTCTTCGTAGAGAGTGTCTTCGTGGGGATAGAGGCTTATGGAGAGACTCCCTCCGTGAAGAGGCTTCTCCGTGGAGAGAAGCGCTCTGCTGAGAAAACAGCCGAGGATAAAACAGTCGAGGAGAGAAGACTTCGTGGAGAGACTCTCTCCGTGGAGAAACCTTTCCGAGAAGAGATCATCTCCAAGGAGAGAAGAGCTCCGGGGAGAACACGATTAGCATTGAATTGTTCACGAACTGTATATAACTTATTAATATGGCTTAATTACTTCCTCTAGCACCTTACTTTGCCATGTGAGTACCATTTTGTTGTCCTTCTGATAGATGGATAGAGTAAATGAATATTGGCTTTACTAACCAAATACTCGAACAGTGACCTAGTGGATCGACTCCATGCGGCGAGGCTCTTGGAGCATCTAGTCGCGTTCTTGGATTATAATTATAATTTCTTAGACACGGACCTTTACAAGTTTCATCGGAAATGCTTACGGAAATGTAGCACTAGTTACAAAGGACAACAATGTTCTTCCCTGTGTACGTGAGCGCGAGGGCTAGAACCATAAAGGTGTTTTGTTCTGTTTGAAATGGCAAGACTTGCTAATGGTCAAGATGTGCTCATGGTCAAGACCTGCTCATAGTCAAAATCAAGCACAATTAAGATGAATCAAGCCAGCTCGTGTATCAATATGAGCCCGTTGGGTTTGCTCGGGGTCGATTTATCTTGCTCAGTCGCTATATAACGGGGGCCTGATTCCAGGCCTTGTTGCATGAGCAGGTTCTCGGTTTGGAGCGCTGGTCAAGTACTCTCAGGTAAACGGTACGGAAATATTAATAGGTGTGTATTGAAAAGCTATGTACGTTCTGCCGCCATTTTCCGCGGCATATGCCACCCTTTTCGTAGGGCGTTGTCTTCGGTGGTGAGTCTGTATAGTGCAGCAAGTATCCACCCATATGTATTCGTACCCGTGCTCGAGGGCTTTTCGACATGCTTTTATGATCTTCTGGTAGCCGTGACTGTTTTTTAGATAGTGATCATCCCTCAATGATGGGTCCGTGAACTGCTGCAGTGTGACTTCATCAGAGCCCCAGGTATGGGATAGAATGGCATATTCTGGTAAATGAGAATCGTCCATAAAGCTACATAGCTCAAGCCGACTGGTATGGATGAGTCGCATTATTATGGGCGCTGCGAGTCAAAAAGATGAAGGTAACCGTACGTGTGGGATGTGTTGTGATGAGGTTGCGATGAAGACCCGAGGCTGCTGATGCCTAGCGAGGTTCTTGAGGGATCATAGACGCCCGTTGGGGCTATGATCATATCCATCGCTGTGAGCCCCCAAAACATTAATATTACTGTTGTGCGCTGCAGATTCAGCTGAGATCCTCAGAAGATGTCACATGCGACCTCTTGGTTTATGTGTAGATGTCTGACAGTGATTGGGGACGACTGTCGGAGAAGCTCCGGTACAGCATTACTCCATGCATACACTGTGCAGAAAGCCGCAGTGCGAACTTTTGCAATTGGAAGAACACTCTGCCAACAGGCTAGCTTCGTTGGTCGACTTGTCTGATTCAGCGATGGTTTCACGAAGTGTGTGCGACACATTGACAGCTAAACTTCAGGGTCCGGGCCATTCACGTGACAGATGACGCGGCGGCAATCGTAATGCATGGGCTGAGGCATCGCCTTCCTTTGTTTCGTCCACCTCTAAACTCTGTACCTACAACATCTCTTCGTTTTCAATCACTTGGCTTTCTTCCTGAATACAACCTACAATGTCTCTTAGCAAGTTGGGCGTTTTTGCCCAGTTGGCGCTGGCCGCCAGCGCCGTGCTCATCCCTTCTACCATGACAACTGCGGAAGAGCTCGGGGACGACCACGCTTTTGAATCTCTCGCCATCAACCCCAGCCAGCGGTCTGTTGCGCTAGCATGTCCTGGTTGCGCCTTTGCGACATATGATGGAGAAACTCTTAAATGGAAGGCTGACGCTGGAAATGCCTTTGTAAGTAGTCGGCCATATGCATCACAGCCTTATATGCTAACAGTCAACAGCGCCTGGACTTCGACGTTGGACCTCAGGGCAACGCCCTAAACCTGGACAACTCCCAACTATACCCGCCGTCGTTTGGCTTCGCTTCTGAGCCCTACCATGTTGTACAAGTTGATCCTACCTCCGGAGACGGCATGCGCCTACGCATCACCAGCTACGAGTTCCGCTACGATGGTGCGGAGACCATCTCAGAGGAGGGCACCGAGCTCCTGCCGATGACCTTCCAAATCACCTCTGTCGAAGGCACCGCTGTCAACCCTCCCGCGCTCCAGATCAACGTATTGAAGAACTCCGAAGGTCGCCTCATGATCGCATCTTTCAACGAGGCCCAGCCTAGCCCGGCTACACCAACAGACAAGGAGTGCAATGAGTGGCCGCTCTACTGCAAGTGGAAGAAGATTATGGAAGACCGCATCGAGCAAATCAAGGACATGCGCAAGCCCCGCCCCGGCTGCCACAAGCGACCCCACCCTGGTGCCCGTCCCAACAACCCCATGGAGCATGAGACCATGGTTGGCAAGCCTCCGCACCGCTTCCGCCCTGGCAAGCCTCACCCGCACCACCGTCCTCACCACATGAGCCACCACGGCCATCATGGTCACCACCACCGCTTCTCCATGTTCGTTCGTCGCGCCTTCTTCACTATCTTCGTCCCTATTCTCATTGGTATCTTCGCTGGTACCCTTACATACCTTGTGGGTATGGCCCTTGGATGTCTCATTGCCATCACTGTCGCCAAGTTCCGTGGCCAGCGCTACCAGCCGATTGCTCTTGACGAGGAAGATGTAGAGGATGCAGAAGAGCACGGAGAGAAGGAGGAATATGCTGAGCTCCCTGCATACGACGCCCCTCCTGTATACGAGGAGGCTACCGTTGAGGAGACTGCGAAGGAGGCCAATGAGTCAAATTAAGATGCGCTGTAGCCTTGGACAACGGTATAAGTGGCGAGTGGATATGGTCATGTCACGCCTTGGACTCGATGAATAGATTGCAAAACGACGTTCGTTTATGGTCCGTATTGATTAGCTAGCTCTCACAATGAATTTCTTTGTGTACTCGACGTTCAGAGAACAAGTGCATATTGTTCGAAGTGATGTGTACTGCTATTTCTATCCATGAGCCTCTTGCCCAGGTCCATACACCACATGCTTATAACCTTGTCTTGCTCTTCCCAAGACACGTGAACGTCTAAGTAGGACGAATTGGCAACTATGCCCAAGAAGCAGACTTGTATCTACTGTTCTATGGATAGTCATTCAGTTCTTGATTCAACGAGGTTGCGGAACACGTCGGATGTAAGCCGTGTCTTTGCTAGTTGCGGGTGGCTGGCGTAGAGTTCAAGTACACGGTGAACGCGTCGTGCAGGCAGAGAGTGATGGCGTTCACGATGCTGCTGCACGCACAAAGCAGTAGACGTGAGCAAAAGAGCTAGTAATCATGCCAGGATCCTTTCCGGTCAATTTCGAGAGACTGCAGCACTTTGCAGCCGCGTGCAGTCGGACTGCGACAAAGTCGATGTTGGTGTTGTAGTCGCGTCGGCAATGCGCGATTGAAGTTGGCGCACGGACTCAGGCCCGACTATTGCAGCAGCCAGACGGGCGCGCCTGCCCTGCAAAGCTCAGCGCTCATTTCGAAGTGCTGCTTTCCACGCTTTTGATTTTCCCCCCAAATGTGAAGGCAAGGCCTCTGATTTCATGTTCTCGCGCGCCCCACCTGGGCTTAGCGCCACTTTGTGTGATCTGGAGGCAGCCGCGCCCGCCTCCCTTTGTCTATATAACCGGCTCGCCCACATCTTTGGAGTTTTCCCTTTCTTCTCTTTTCGCAACCCCCAGCTTTTATCTTCATCCAACCACTGGCGCTGCATCAACGCGTCTATTACCAACACCCATCACCTCCATCTCACTAACCTTTTACCAACATGACTGGACGTAAGTACACCTCTGTTACTCTTTCCCTGCCCTTGCATCGATGTTGCTGTTGTCGTTGCTGCCGCTGCTGCACATGGCGGTGAGGCGCGCTTGGTGTTGAGGCTCAACGCGTCGCCCCACTAATGTGCCGCGCATCACGACAACGTCTACCACAACCACTCTTACATCTTGACGATGTCACTCGTCTACCATCAACACAAGACAAACATGCTAACATACCTCCCTAGGCGGCAAAGGTGGCAAGGGTCTCGGCAAGGGTGGCGCCAAGCGTCACCGCAAGATTCTTCGTGACAACATCCAGGGTATCACCAAGCCCGCTATTCGTCGTCTCGCTCGTCGTGGTGGTGTCAAGCGTATTTCAGCCAGTAAGCATGCCCAACATCGTCGCTATCCAGGAGAAATCCTAACATGACTGCAGTGATCTACGAAGAGACCCGTGGTGTCCTCAAGACCTTCCTTGAGAGCGTTATCCGTGACGCCGTCACCTACACTGAGCACGCCAAGCGCAAGACTGTCACCTCCCTCGACGTTGTCTACGCTCTCAAGCGCCAGGGCCGTACCCTCTACGGTTTCGGTGGTTAAATATCTTGTCTTCCCATTACGACACATCGGCACCCGACATCGACGCCATCTTGGAGATTCTTGGTCGAGGGCAGTCCGCATGGTCACACATTGTTTATGGATATGATCTGGTCACGGCTATCGGTCTTCACGGCGTTCTGTTCATGGGTGGGTTGGAAATGATCAATATGAAGCTTCGATCTTCATTCGGCTAGTTTAGTCAATGCATACATATTCATGCACATCGCTGTCCAAATACCTTTTTGTGAAGTCGACTCAAGCTGCGCCGTCCTGACCTTGTACCCAACTTGTCACTGCCTGTTCTACTTCGGTGCAGCTTCCCGTCACCCCGAATAGCCCTCCTTCAACCTTGATACTCTCCAAACTCCACCTTTTCAACTCTTCACTAACACTCTCTACCCCATCCTCCACAACCAGCACATCATACCCCCTATCGCTCGCCTCCCTTACAGTACTACTAACACACGCATCTGCCGTAACCCCGCAGACTACCAGATTACTAACACCTTTTGCTCTCAATATAAGATCAAGTTCCGTATGCGCAAACGCACTCCGCCCAGGTTTATCAATAACCAGTTCTCCCTCCAAAGGCTTCAGATCCTCAACGATCTCATGCCCTTCCTGACCTCGTATCAGAAGACAGCCCAACGGACCCTGACTCCCTATTTCCGCGCCGTTGACCCGACTGCGATGCGCTTCCCTACTACTCACCGTTGCTAGCGAAGTATTGTGACCCTCTCGTGTGTGTATGATGGAGAAACCTGCGCGTCGAAACGTAGATAGCAGAGAGACGATGCGGGGAATCAATGACTCGAAACGTGTGAGGGAGTAGCCTTGGGAGGAGAGGTAGCCGCCGGGTGAGAGAAAGTCGCGTTGCATATCTATGATTATGAGGGCGGTCGATGTGGGGTGTAGGGAAGAGTTGTGTGGCCAAGCGTATGGTTTCGTAGTGGGGATTTGAGTTGCCATGTTCTTAATAGTAGCGACTCGACGTTATAGTGTGAGGATGTTTTATAGTGTTGTATCATGGGTGTTTGAAGAGCAGCCATGTCCGCATTTGAGTGTTTTGGCGCATGCGTCGCCTCTTCAAGTAATCTTAACATGGAGTCTCCGCGCGGTTCTCCATTACGTTCATATACATGGTAATGTTCAAGCTTCCGCAAGCATGCTTGATCCTATCGCTTCGGATCGTGGTATCCGCTTTCGGGATCGGCAGGTACGCTTCTCCACTCTGCGAGTACCTGTTATCGCCTTGCCAATACAACCCCGACGTCGTTGTTCATGAAGCTTCTGCATTGTGTTCGAACGAATGGAGCTTTTGAACCAAGGGTAATGAAACGACTCGAATTCCCGGCCTTTTACACGTCGCACATCCACCTACTTATCTCCATTCCATGTACCCCACTTCTAGCCGCACCCCAGTTTCTTACAGTGTCGCTTTCGCTTGCTATCTCGGCCAATCCACTTCACACGCCCGGTCCGCGATAAGAAATGTGGGAGATGCATGACGGCTGCCCGAATTGGAAGCATAGCCTAAGGGAAATCGCCGTTATCTGGATGACGCAGGGCTCGGCCGTCGATGGGGCCCTCTCGTTCAACGGCTGTGGGAAGATGGGTTGACGCGATACCAGTAAAGGTATATCTAAACGGAAGGACGGCGCTTTGAAAAGATTCTTACCATTTGTTTGGAGATATCTGCATGCTCATAAGTGTGTTTGCTTCTTCTTCGTTTTGGTCTTCGGGACATCGAACTGGTAGACATGGCGATCAGCCCAGAAGAGAAGAAGGTCGTCGACGAGACCAACAGCGACGATGATGTGCTCGCACAACTGGGATATACCCAAGGTAGGTTTTGTTACCACGATAGCTTTGATCATCTACTGACATGCTTCCAGAGCTCAAGCGTAGTTTCGGCTTGCTTGGTATGGTTGGCTTCTCGTTCAGTATCGTGACTTCGTGGACTGCACTTTCCGGTGTTCTCATCATTGGTGTCGAGAGTGGAGGTCCACCGGTTATGATATGGGGCTGGCTGTGTGTCTGCCTAGTCACACTTGCTGTCGCATACTCGATGGCTGAGATGTGTAGCGCGTATGAGCATCGACTTCTCACTGTAGGACTTGACTAACCGTTTCCCAAGGTATCCTGTTGCTGGTGGACAATATAGTTGGGTGGCTATCCTAGCTCCGACGCGATGGGCTCGCTCAATGAGCTATCTTTGTGGGTGGTGAGTATCATCACTGCACGCGGTCTTCAACGATAGACTAATGTGAACAGGTTCATGCTTATCGGCATAATATGCATGGGCGCTGTCAACAACTTTGTCGCTACAAACTTTATCCTAGGCGTGGCCCAGCTTAACTATGGGTTTACGATAGAACGCTGGCACACAGTCCTTGTCGCCTACCTCATCACCTTCATCGCAGCAGCGTCTAACATCTATCTGCCCCACATCCTCAACAAACTCTCAAAAGCGATCTTCATCTGGAATCTCGCGTCTTTTGTCGTGTGTCTAATTACCATCCTTGTTACAAACGACCACAAGCAATCAGCAAGCTATGTTTTCAGCGACTTTCAGAACTTTACCGGATGGAATGCGCCGTATGCTACATGCTTGGGTCTACTCCAGTCAGCGTTCGGAATGTGCTGTTACGATGCGCCTTCACACATGACTGAGGAGATCAAGAACGCCCGGAAGCAAGCACCTCGGGCGATAGTCATGTCGGTTTACATTGGCTTCTTCACTGGTTTCGTCTGGCTGATTGCGCTATGCTTTTGCATTGGCGATCTTGAGGCAACAGGTGCCACTCCAACTGGAGTGCCTGTCATTGAGATCATCTTCAACAGTACAGGCAATGTGGCAGGAACATCTACATTGGCTTCCATGATTGCCATCATCGCTACAGTTTGCGCAAACTCGCTCATGGCAGAAGGATCAAGAGCCGTGTATGCGTTCGCACGAGACAACGGACTTCCGTTTTCGAACGTACTGAGCAAGATATCGACAAGATCGGTACCGGTATACGCCATCCTGTTGACAGCCATCGTACAAATGGCGTTCAATTCCATCTACTTCGGTACAACGACTGGCTTCAATACCATCATCGCCATCGCTACGCAGGGCTTTTATCTGTCCTACCTGATGCCTCTCCTCTCCCGCATTCTCGCGCACTTCTCCGGGAAAAAGACTCGTCTCGAAGGCCCATACTCTCTTGGACGTTGGGGAATTGTGCTTAACATTATCGGGTTCTTGTACCTGGCATTCATCTGTGTTGTATCCAACCTACCCAGCGTCACACCTGTGACGAGCGAGAACATGAACTACACGTCTGCGGCAACAGGGGTGGTCATGTTTATCAGTTTGATTTTCTGGATCATGACAGGGAGGAAGAAGTTTACTGGACCCGATGACGGGAGTTTGCTGGATGTGGGTAGCCACGTTGCTTAGCTTTGAGGAAGCCATTATATTGTCTCCGTTCACTTCCGCAAGGAAGATGATTGATTTGAGAATGTATCCAAAATTACTTTTGATTCGCTCTTGCTATCTAGGTACTGTGGCATTGTGACTCGACTTTCCCCTCAAGTAGTCCCAGGGCACATTCCTTCCGTCGTCGCGCCGATGGCACGAGACACGATATCAGTAAGGACAGTCAACAAAGCTATCATTCATGCAACTCTTTATTAAAAGGGTCTAAAGCGCTGCCTCTGCGTAAGGTACACATGCAGGGCTGGGTCTCGCTACCGCGTTGCTGTTAGCCCAGGTCCACACGCACCTGCATTCGGCACCGTTTGATGTCGACGATCTGACTCTACCTAGTCACTCGAACCCCGATATCGACATGAATCAATGCAAGCCTTTCTTTTGATACCATTCAGGTGTCTCGGAGAATCTGTACCCCGCACAGTCCACGATTGCGTCCCAGCGATCAAGTCTCACGACACAGGCAGTTACACGATGGCCAAAAGCAAAAATGCTTGCAAACACGAAAGGCGTAAGCGCCGTCACGAGATGTCTAGACAAAGGTTCCGCATAAGCAACGTATTCGAATGGAGGACACTGCGGAAGTCGGCAAGGCATCAGATCGCACGAGATCGCGTGACGCGGTTATGGATCTATCCTTGGATCACAGCTCCAACGGGCCGCTTCAAACGTCACTATCCAGAAGCCAGTCTTCTTGGTCTCCCTACAGAGCTTCATCAAAACATACTCTACAAAGTCTTCGATACGACGGAGCTGAGCGACATGGTCAAGCAACCGGGGAAGAAGGGAAATAGACTGGCTGCTCAGACCAAGGCGAAAGAGTGTGAACTGAGACAGCGACGAGAGAAATCATTGGGTATACGCATGTCGCAGTTTGAGAGCGACTCCATCACGATGCTACATTGGCGCATTGGCGACTTCTGCGGTGTGTCGCTCCTCATACAAACAGACATGGAGTATGTGGGGAAGCTATGGAAGAGAGATCTCGACGAGCAGCTCGAATGGCAGTTCCTGGCACCGCTTAGACTACCGAAAGACCCTGTGGTGGGCGACAGTAGAGGACGCTTGATAAATCAAACAGGAATGGCCCGCAACTCGAAACGACTAGAAGGAAAAGTAGTCAAAGTGAAGAGATCTGGAAAGCACGCTGGACGGCCTCCAAAGTGTTGGAGGTGTGAGGAAAGGCACTTTGATGGCGACCTAGTCTGTCCGATGGCCAGATACAAACCGGAGCAATGGCAGCAGTTGTCGAAGAAGATGGGAGGCTGGAGGAGCGCGATACAACCATGTTCCCTTTTCCGAGCGACGAAAATATTGTTTGCTGACGACTAGGAACCTGGACCATTCGACTAGAAATCAGAGAATCATTCTGAGGACTGCACCATGCCAAAATGTCTTGTAGAACCACCGTGTTGTTGAGTGTAGCCATCGAGCTCCATACACCAGGTGAAAGGACTTCTATCTGCAGCTTCACCAGAGTTGAGCCTTTCTCAAGATACAATTGCGCTTGATTGGCAATTGCCGTGCACAAGAATTTTCTGTTATAGGGCTTTGCTTCCGTCTCTCCCTTTCTCGTCAAATTCTTCACTCACATCTAATCTTCGCTCCTCTAACCCAATCACAAAGGTACTTTCAAAATGCTTCCAAAAATGGTCTTCGGCGCTAGCGCCAAGTTTCAAAGCTTCGGCATTGAAAGACCCTACGACACTATGCCCGCTGAGCGGTCGACGTCTGGCGCTGGCGCCAAAAGGAGCGTGTCTTCCTGCAGGGCCGGAGGCTGGGGATGGCGCTAGTACCGGAAGCGGTGACTTGGCGTTTGCGACAACAAAGCAAGTACCCACGCTTAAAGAGTCTGATTTGTCGCGACAGGTGGAGCAGGTGAGCAACAACATGTCTGAGAGGGGAGAAACTGCGAGTAATCAATCAGAGCAGGTTCTCAGAGAGCGCTGTGACGCTCTTCAGCGGCAGCTCAACGAAGAGTACGACCGAGCTGGGAATTTGGAGCAGAAATACGACAAACTCAAGGACGAGAACGCCCGCTACAAGAACGAGTTCGAAAAGCTCAAGCGCGAACGAGAAGACACGGAATACGCGCTCAAGAAGAGCGAAGAGACACTCGTGGAAGAGCAGAGCACCATCAAGGCTCTCGAGGCGCGCAATGTCAAGCTCGACCACGAACTCGCGCTCAAGGAAGCTGCCCTCAAAGACAAAGACAACCAAAACGCCAATCTCGCCGCCGATTACCAACAGCTTCATGCCCATTACAGCGACAAGCTCGGCGAACTCGACGACATACGCGTCAAACTCCTAGAGAAAAAGTTGGAGTTCGACGATCTGCAGGATCAATGGTCAACGGACCAGAAACGGATCGCGGACCTGGAGGAGGCTATACAAGAACACGAGGACTCCAACCTGGTCGCCGAGCTTGAGAACGACATCGCTGGACTCCACGCCATACAGGAGCAGGACTCCAGGACTATCATTGTCAAAGATGAGCGTATTAGTCACCTGGAGGGCTTGCTTCAGAAGGAGCAGCAGCGCACCCTTCACAACGCCGACGAGGCTGCTCGAACGGCCGCTGCCTCTCCAGTCGACGACCAAAGGCATATCGGCAGCTTGGGAGGCACACTCGAAGATGAATTCTCTAGCCTGATGCTCGACGAGAGCGACTTTATCGACTGCGAGCCCAGCGAATACGAGCTTGAAATACAGTCACTCTCCGCCGTGCACGTAGCTGCCAGTGTCACGCCTGTTGCTGCACGTGTGCCTGAGAGCCAGATCGATATAAGCCAGGCCGCCAGCGTGGAACCTCGCAACCCAGCCCCCGCACCACCATGCTCTATCGTTGTCAACAAGGCTGGCAGCACTCAGCCTGTGGCTGTCAAGACGTCTATACACGCCATTGCTGTAAGCAATGCCGCCAGTGTCGAACCCCGCGATCCAATGCCGCCGCCGCCGTCCACCATCGACGTCAGCGAGGCCGCCAGCACCGCGCCTAAAGCCGTGAGGGTGCCCGAACAAACAACCGGGTTTTACACGACCTTGAGCACTTCGCCTATCGAGCCGCCTCGTGTTCAACTCTCCTTGTGCGACGTGCAAGGTATTGTCAGCTTTGCGCCTGACCAGCCTGCTATTGCGCCTTTGGACTACTCCCCTCAGAATGCTGCCAGCACTGAGCCCATCGAGCCTGCTCGTGTTCCTCTCTCCGTCCTCGATGCTCATCAGATCGCTAGCTTTGCGCCTGTTCAGCCTGCTGGTGCGCCACTGGATTACTCCCCCCAGAACGTGGCCAGCACTGAGCCCGTCGAGCCCGCTCGTGTTTCCCTCTCCATTGTCGATGTTAATCATATCGCGAGCTATGCGCCTGTTCAGCCTGCTGGTGCGCCTCTGGATTACTCTCTTCAGAACGCAACAAGCACTGAGCCTGTCGAGCCCGCTCGCGCTCATCTCTCCATGGTTGATGTCCATGACATCGCTAGCTATGCGCCCAAACAGCCCGCTGGTACACTTCTGCGCCTGCATGAACAGACATCAGTCAGTACTGAGCCCGTTGAACCAGCTCGCGACACCCTCGCTTTCGATGACGTGTACGACGTTGCGAGCTTTGCGCCCAAACGGCCTGCGTCTGTTGCCTCCACAATCTCCAGACACGAGATTGCCGACTTTGCGCCGAAAGAGCCTAGCCTTCCATTGCTCACTGTGGACGTGACTGAAGCTGCCAGCACGCGTCCGGTTGTCCGCCAGATCACCAGCGCCGAATTTTCTACCCAAACCGACGCGCCTGCTACCACCAACAACTTCTCCACTCAGACCGACGCGCCCACAACCACCGATCTTGCTATCCAGACCGACGCGCTTGTTGTCGCCACCACCGAATCGTCTGCGCAGACCGACGCACCTGCGCTTACGAGCCAGCTCCTGGCTCACACGGCTCTCGCAACGACCCCAATTGAACCGACCACCCAGATTACGATTGCCAGGCCTAACAATCATATCACCCCCGTTATGGTCACTCGCGAAATCAAACCTGTCGAGCAGATTCTTCCCAAGCCCGAATCAGAGCGTCCCAATACTACGACCGAAGCTCAGGCGCATACAAATAATGACACTGCCGAAGAACGTGTAATAGCCAAGACATCGCCCGTCATGGCTACGCGGGCTAAAAAGGCTCGATTTGCAGGCTGGATTCCCATTTTGTCCACTGTGCTTTTCGCAGTCTGGTCACTCATCCTCCAAGCCGAGCTGGCTACCTGGAAGAATGCGAACGGAGTCGGTTTCGGCGGTGGCCATGGTAACGTAGCTAGCCGCAGTGGTGCTCACGGCAATGGTCGTGACCTCTTCGGTGACATTCCCATCGGCATGAACATTGGCAATTCGTGGGTGTCGGAGCAGATTGCGCAACGCATGTCTGTGGCCATGTCATTCCTCGAAGATTGGGTTGGCGTTGTAAACGAGCCCATGTACTGACTGAGCCGGCCGCGGTCACTGCCCACACTTCCCATAACAACTTGCTCCCACAACGCACATTGACGACACTGCTGAACGCGCCACGAACCTCGATTGGCCTTTAGCATCTTCTGACGACATCTACGACGTTGCGGCAAAATCATGTCTCGGCACCTCCCACGATTCTTTCGAACTTTTCACCTGACGGCGTTTGCTCTTCTACTTCTCACCCTTTAATCGCTTCACGAAATTGCATGACCCAGAACAAAATACCCATTTCTTCTTTCTCATGATACCTATGCTGGGACACGGCATCTACGACGGCGTTTTGTTTAGGCCTTGGCCTGTCGTTTCAGCGAGATGTATACCTTGTACCCCCAGATACCCCTTGATTTTGTCTTCTTATGGCGAGCCGCGAGCCGCCAACGATTGTGGACATGTAACTTCCTGATACGGATCATGATCTGTTTATCAAATCTATTGAAGGATTGGTTGAGCTGTCGGCAGTTGGCCTCGAGACGAGAGATACGATACGATTACGACTTCAGATAGCACGTTAGACATCAGTATGAAAGATCTTTACGCCCAACGGGAATGTCCAAGCTGACCTCCATGCGAAGCCTGATTACGCGTCTCTGGAAGCCTTGAAGACCATGACCTCCGCAAGCCATTACTGGAGGACAGTGAACACGATGCATTTATTTAGGAAGAGTGCCCGAGGCTGGAAGGAGACACGGTTGCTTGGTCTATCCATCAGAGCCCAATACCGCGGCATTGTATCAGGCAGTGTGTTATAGCGTTCGAATGAGCCTTTGATATTCGTAATCGGTCACCTGAACAGAGTGAGATCGTCGTTAACCCGGAGGTATCCTAGCGGTGTCGCGGGAATCGCGTGATGCGCGGTTCTATAGGCGTGGATTTGATATTGATACTGTACCTGCGCTATACTACATGGCAATTACTATACCCTTCGCTGCCATTAATGTAACACGTGGAAGTAGACAGAGGCGTATGCGATGCGTAGAACGAACGTAGACCCGACTACCCCCACGCGCTCATATCTTCGAGAGCAGTTCCCGGGACCATTCGGGCCGCTCGCGACAAGAGCGGAAGCATCAGCGCCCAAGGTCAATGTCAACTGCACACGGCCAAGCAGCGGCAGAATGCATCCTTGGGTCCGAGATGGCCGGACTGGGATGCTCTGTCAATGTTGGGGACAACAAGAGAGGTGCTGTGTGAAGTTGTGAGGTATGGTACCCCAGGTGGCTGGGATGCCACGATGGCATCGGGGCTCAACTGGTGGGTCGGGCACCCTGACGGATGCGGATGCAACGGAGAAGAAAAGAAGGTGCGGGTACCTGGTTCCACATGGGGAATGTCAACAAGCAAAAAGAAATGTTCAGATGAAACCCTTTGTGAAGAGTGTCTGAGGCTATGACGATCGTGGGAGATGGGGTTACCGCCTGACCCAAAGCTCCTTCTCTTTTCGCCTGAAGTTCTCGACCACAACTACAAATGCCGCCAACTTTAAAGTTTACTCTGACAGCAACTTGTGGAAATGACAGAGACGGTCGACGGCAATGAAGATATAGAGTTCGGTCGCGTTGAGCGCTGCAGAATCGGGTGTGTCCTGGCTTGGGCAGCACGACAGGCTGCGTGTGATCAAGGGCTGCGCATCATTGTACGTCGCAGCAATGTGGTGACACGAAAACACGTGCCGTGCTGGCGGACCGCGGACCTGATGGGTGCCTGACGAAGATTGTGCTGGAGCGGTAGGTCTGGATTTTCGACTAATGAGAACCAGCCACGACGAGGAAGCACGAGGAATGGATCGTTAGTGTGCGGTAGAGGGAAGACTTCCTATAGGCGACTACGTTTGAAGTTTCTGCAAGCTCGAGGATAGGGCCTGTACATAGTTCAGTGTGCGAAGGCGATGATGCTGTGAAGAAGGATGTGCAGAGAGATGTGTGTGGGCGGTCGCATCGTGCACGCTGGGCTCGGCCGCTTTCATGAGTTGGCGGTGCCCGGGACTGGCGGGCATGGTTTGCACCACGGCGGCATCGAGTCGGTGAAGCCTGTCTGGACCGAAGCAATGCGTCAGGCTGTGGCCTCACAACGTCACAGCTGGCCGAAGCGAAGGACCAGGGACAAGTCTTGGTTGTTGTTGGGGTGAGATGATGCAGGGCTCACCGGCGGGCAGGTAAGAAATGTCTGTAAAAATGCCAGCGGCTAGCCCCGAAAGTCTCTCCACCACGGGCGAACCTTGAAAACACCATGGGCGCTGCCCTTTTGTCTTTAATTCGCCCAATCACGAGCAAAATCGCGTTCCGTAAAGAATAATCAGCGTGCTGACAAGCGACGATGCCCGTTTGCATCACAGGTGCTAGAGCTGAGAAGGGTCAGGCTGGTCTCGGGCATCCTCGCAGTTGATGCCCAAGCGACGCCACCTGAGGGCTGCCCAGGTCGTCTCCACACTGTGCGAATCGCACCAGAAGCTCGAGCTATGGAGACGTTTGGCCCATCCGAATAATTAGATCGGCTGCCGACGGTACGCCGCTCTTTTCGTCTTCTTTTCTCTTCCTCTTGCTGCTTTCCCATCGCATCTCGACGAAACCGGCCTTCCTCTATCCCGCCAAACCAGCGTCACAAGCCTGCCGCCAGTGTGCTGCCCAACCGCTTGACCTGCGTCTTGCATCTACCGCCAGTCGCGCCATCGGCCAATCACACCCCGCACCCACTGCAAGCCATTCTTCTTCAGTTGCGGCTCTGAACGAGACACATCCACAACGAGCACTTCAACAAGTACTCTTCCCGTCGCCCGTACCCTGAGCATTGCCTGTCAGAGTGTGCATATTGCTTCGAGCGTAGTCCCCTCTACTTCCGAGTACCTGCTGTGATCGCCCCCACCAGGAAGCTGCATTCAGCCACGCCGTCAAGGTCCACTTGTCACAGGCCAGACCCCCCCTAAGGAGCCAGTATATTGGTCAAAACCCCGCTTCTGCGTCCTGCGTCGCTGAACATCTCTCTTCTGGAATCTCTCTGGACACCATAGACCTCGGACACCCACCTGTTTTGCCCGTAACCTTGGTGCCTAGAGCCCCTCTATCTTAGCTCCCATAGCTTGGCCCCATTTCTGGCATTGACATCACTGTCATCTTTCTTTTCGTCCCCTTTCCACACGCATCTCAGTAACCATGTCGCGCGCAAATCAGTGGTTTGTGCCTGGCGATGGAATCGCGAGAGAAGTCATCACGGCCGACATCCAGCGCTACTTGGGCCCAGATGCGCTCGTCAGGCCTGGCACAGGCACCGGAGAGTACCAGGTCCGCACTTACTTTCTCTCTCCAACGCCACCTCTACGGAAGACTAACTCTCACATAGGGCCAGCCAGGCTACTGGATAACCGCTTATCGAACTCTCACATCGGTATGTTGAGTCGCCATCGGACCGTGGTCGCGCACAAGGCTAACCCGTTTCCCTAGCAAATGATACAGGATTTGAAAATGGATTCACAACGTTGGCAACAGGAACGCCAGCCAGGCGAAATTGGACGTGGAGGTAGCCATAGTCCTCAAGTGCGCACTACTAAACCAGGGGGCCCTAACGCTTCATTAGTGGCTTATCAGGACTCTCGTACACATGCTGCTCGTCAGCATTGGGGTCCGACGAAACCGTACGAACACGGCTCGTCTCATGCGGCGGCGGATCCCTATGATCAGCCTCCTCGCCAGTCGTCAACGACGTCTAGAGCGACGACGTATGCGTCTTCAGGCTATGGTAGCAGTGATCCCCATTACACCACGACTCCCACATCCGTGTATGGAAGCTCGCATCCAGGATACCAGACTTCACCTGCTTCTGCTGCACCCAGGACTCAGCCAGCGGATCCATACTCATCTTACCAGCAGCCCAGTGGAAGGGATTACCCTGCGCAGTCTGCTTATTCCTCTTACCCAGCGCAGACTCCAGATCCATATGGACGCCAGCCGGCTACCCAGACGACTCCATACTCTAATCCAAGGTATTTTGGTTACTATGACGAACCCTATTTGGTCTATCGCTAAGCCCCAGTTAGTGCCGCAGCAGCCGCTCCTGGCTACTACATTGCCTCGGATGGTCGTCGTAAGTGATTTGGGTCGTTGCGCTACTCCACAACTGACATGTCTTGTGTAGAATATCCCTTATCGCAACAGCCACAATCATCGCGCAATCCACAGTCCGGCACCTCTAGGTACAGTACGAGATAGAGTACATCTCCGTCTTACGGCCTTGTTATTGTTCCTGCGTCGATGTATCGCGCCCGGAGATACCCTTTCTTTCCAAGCTACTGGATGGTGCTCTGGAGTCTGGCCAACCTAATTTTTTAATGGATCCATCTTCTACCATCCGGGTACCGTAAGGAGTTTGCGATTACCAAAAGCATCCGGATAGACATTTGTTTCCCTAGGATCTCAAGCCATGGACCTATACCTCTTCCAGCCCGGTTGAGCAGCCCAAAGGAGCATTTACTTTCCGGTTTTCCTTTTGTGTCTGATGTTATGTACGTTAATTGGGAAATTGGGTTTCATTTCTCATTCTCCTCATACGACTGGATCTTTGCTCTGCGGGATGCGGAACCAATTATTGCCATGGATCTTATAGCCTCTATCGGGACATTCATTCCGCTTCTGGCTATCACTATCATGCAAATGCATCAATTTCCGGATTCTGCTTTTCTTGCTATGTATATACCTACGACACGGACGTTGCTCCACGAAGTCGATGTTTACGAATGAACGGTTATCTGCGCATGCACAGCATGCGTAGAAGGAAACATCACTGTGTTCGCCTATGCGATTTTGATCACGCACCGGGTTGCGACCAGACGCTTCTCGGTCCCACTCACTGCGCTAACGCTTCAGTTTCGTCTTCTTCGATATGCTCTCTCTAGCCTCGCGGTGAAGCCACCACTGTCACTCATGTTGTGTTCAGGCTTCTTCGAACTGATTCTCAGCTTGCTTGTTACAACATGCCCAACCCCA